TTCAAAACACTTTCCAAATCACTAAAGAAGGTTGTCAACAGGATCATCAGCAAGCACATAGATCCACATAATGTTGAAAAGGGTGGTAGCGACCATCTTTATGTGTATGTTTATTACAAATTGATAAACCAGATTCTTCACTAGTCCTATTAGTTGGTGACTGAGAGTTGAGGCATACCCATGTACCACCTTAAAAATGCATCTTTGAAGGTGTAATATAGAAGCTTAAATTTTAAGGAATCAGAAGCTTTAATAATTGCCATTTGCATGTTGATGTATATAACATTCTCATATAGGTCATTTATTATATCAAACTTAGCCAACAAGGGCGACTTAAAGCTCTTTAGCACTGGTGCCCTACATATCTAATTTGAGAGAGGTTGGGGTACATGTTTTCAGTCTCTTATGGTGGGTTAACCTCATGTTGGCGTTGTTGGACGTTATCCTTCAAGGTTTTATTCTGGTGGCGTAAGTCGTTTATGAAGGCTCACATCTCTGCCATGATATTCTCCTTGTTGTCAGACTCACTATTGGCCAAAGTTGTTAGATGAAGGTGACTTACCTAGAGGGGGTGAATAGATCCCAAGTTTTAAAAACTTTACAAAAACTGCTTTGAAAATTTTAACGACTAGCGAAAGTGACCCGTATCGAATTGTCTAAACTGAGTCGCTATCAACAAGCTCGGATATATGTATATGAAAACTAATTGATGATAATGATAAACAAATAAATCAATGTGCTTTTAACAACAATCACTTGAATGCTACAATAATAGTGGAGTCTATTTCCAATAACTAAATACACAAAAATGCAATTGAGACAAATTATCAAATACCTTGTGTGCAATCAATTTTCATTTAAAATTTTCTATGGTGTTGATTTGAAAAAACAACTACAATCTAATAAATTGTGATCAACACAACAAAACCATTTTCAAAATTTTATCAACAAAATTTTAACCAAACATATTGATCGCACAATCGACGAATTCAACAATTTGCAAATGAAAAATTATATATATATATATATATATATATATGTGTGTGTGTGTGTGTGTGTGTGTGTGTGTGTGTGTGTGTGTGTGTGTGTGTGTGTGTGTGTGTGTGTGTGTGTGTGTGTGTGTGTGTGTGATACCCTAAATTTGCCCACTTTTTTTTAAATCTCTGGCTTGTGTGTGTGCCATCCAAGAAGAGGGTCTTTGTTGGTTTCAAGCTCAAGCAAAGGCATTGGTAGAAGCCATCAAATGGGTGTTATTATCACAAAGTTATCAAAGAATCATCAAATGGTTATCAGGGGGTTCATGAGGCTTTATCATTGGTGTGAGCATGAGGTAGAGGCTTGTTGAGTACCTCAAAGGATATTGTGGAATTCGAATAATCACCCAGTTCATCTGCACAATGCCCAAGCAAAAAGGGTGAAATTAGGGCTTCATTTTTAATCAGGCTAAACTTGTTTTGTGAAGTAAAACTTGTTTCCATGGTCCTCCATATGTCCTAAGGTGTTTGAGGATGGGAGATTGACCCTCAAATTTAATCAGAAGGGCTTCAATTGATCAGTCAGTCGAAAATCAAGAGATTGGGGGGAAAGTCAATTGTGCGGTGAAAAAGTCAACTCCTGACTTTTTGAGGTCAAAATCATGACCCTTGAGTTCAATATGACCAATGGATGGAATTTGATCAAGAAAAGTCAAGGGAATCATGAAAAATCAAGAATTGTTGAAAGTTGCAATTTTAAGGAAATTAGGGTTTTAGAACTTTCTATTTATGGAAAGTTTTATGCTTGGAACAGCCATATTCAAAGCCATTTTTCTTCATGATCAAGGTTTCAAATGAACTTGGATCAAACATCAAAGTTGTTCCTTGTATTTCAAGCTTTCTTTTGAGTACCAATTCATAATCATATGATATTTGGAGCTCAAGTTATGATCAATCAAAGTTGAGGAAAAATAAGTCAATTTTATAACTTAGAATTTTTTCTAAGTTACTTATGGACAGTTTGCATTACCTGATTTTCAACACCATTTTTCATGGTCTTCCAATCCTCGAATCAAGATGACTCCAACATGAAATTTGTTCTACTTCATGTCCTCTTTCATTCGAGCACAAGACCTAAGCATTTGGAGTTGTGCGCACAAAGTTATCATGGCCCAAAGTTGGTGTTTTGGACATTTTTTCAAAGTGTGAAATGTGTGTTTTGCTGATTTGTTTGGTTTACCAGCCTCATCCCTCTTCCATGCGCATGAGGTTGAGTTTAGTACATAAGAAATATTGCCATTTCAAGTCAAACCAAGGCATGTACTACATTGAGGATTTTTTTTAATCTTTGCCCAAACAAGAAAAGGACAAACTGCTTTTTCTGTTGCAAGAAGCCACACTATGCTGCTCCTACTACTGAGCTAAAATAGCTACATATGTAAGCTGACTGGTACTGCCTCTCCCATCCACCATTTGATTCAAGAACCATGAACATATTAGATCTGGACCATTGATCTTTTACCACTGTTAAACTTCTATTTTCACATTTCTCACGTCAGATAAAAATTTAGTGCAAAACCCTAATCAGAAGCAGCCACCACTTTGTGCAAAATCAGAAGAAGAGCTTTTGGTATTTTCTCTCAAACTGCTCTAAAAAATCACTCATCACTTCAAGAAGGAGAAACATCAAAGCTTGCATCAAAGGGGGGTATCTTGCTCAAAAGGATTCTCAACTAAAGGCTGCTAGCACACTTTGGAGTTCTAAAAGAGGTTGGTGATTTCAAACTCACTCATTATGCATGAGTTTAGGATACCTTGAATCATCAGAACATGCTAAGTATGGTTTGTGTTTACTGTCATGAAGTTGTGATTATCATGTGAAACTTATAATGAATTGGTTGTGGATGTAATCTGTCATGTTAAACTGTCACTGTTTGATACTGGTTTTTGGTTGCTTGTTGCAAGCTCTCATGTTAAATATACATTGTGTGATATTGGCATTGTGATGTCAAAACCTGCTGCTATTCCTGTTTTAAACAAGGTTGTGTTGATTTTGACTTATGTTTGATTAAGTTGACTTGTGACTCCATGTTATGAGTTTGGATTGATGGAATGATTTGGGCTTTGACAATGTAACCATGCTGCCAATGACTGTCTTTAAGGTCTGAGTTTGTCAACTCACTATACCTCATTGCTGTTAATTCTGTTTCTCATAGTAAGGCTTGCCTATAAGTTATCATTGTCATAAATGTGTGTTTACATTATTTTTTTGTTGCATCTGCATAATTCCAAGTTTGTGACTCTGCTTGTTTAAGTGAGTTGCAACTTCATAGTAGTTTCTGGAATGAATTGAACCTTGACAGTTTGCTCATATTGAACATGTGTTTGCACTTTGTTTGCTTTTAAAACATGTTGTTATTTCTGTTTCCAACCAAAGCCTCCTTAATCTTGTTTCCACATCAAAAGACCTTAAATACTTGTCATTGTGATTGTTGTTTGGTCTGTTTGGTTACATCATGACTGCTGCATATAAAATGTTTACTGTCATTAGGTTTGTAAACTTGCATTGGTGAATAAAATTTTGGACTGATGGTTAATAGATATAAGCATTATCATAGTTGTTGCCAAGTAGGTTTTTTTGGGTACACAGTTGGTTTTTGCTTTGTTTATATCCAAGGTGAGGTTGCCACCTGTCACACCCTAATTTTTTACCTCAAGATCCCGCTTCCTTGTGCATTTTTTTGGCATACCACCTAGGTTAATCATCTCTGCGGAACTAACCGTTTTGCCTAGCTTTGTTTACTCTGCAGATAGTTAAAAGATTTTTGAAAGTCATGAAAGTGTTGTGTATGTCCTGAAGAATTCTAATGCTCTGCAAGTCATGTAGAAGTGACTGCCTCAGGCCGAATGGAAGGCGCATCATAAGCCATTACAAAGTTTCAAGGATGTTATTTTGGATTCTATTCAAAATAAAATGAGAGGCCCACCCTTGAATTCATTAAATATTGACAAGAGCTTATTTGGATTTGTACGGAAGACTTTTATATGATTGGTCTTAATTTCGAAGTTCAAGATTGTTTTTAAAGCTACATCTCGCTGTATGTGGTATTACTAAAGTGAAAGAAAATGGAGATTTCCTCCCAAGACTAGCTCACAAGGACGGATGCTATAACTCCCAATCAAATTTTCCCGAGAAAATATACATACACAGTGGAGATTACAAAATTAAAGCCATGACAAAGCTACAAGAGCTAAGTATATTTCAAGCTTATCACAAGAAGTGCAACCCGTTTAAAGTCATAAAATCAAGTGTTTACAAATTAAATTTATTTATAAGTCACTCAAAGGTTACAACTTAAAGGACCACTTAAACTTTACAAGTATTGCACCCAATACCACATATTGAAGTTCTGAGCCACGACTACTATAAAATGGACAAATCCAAATTGGCAGAACAGGGACCAACAACCGGCGCCGTCATCAATATCTGAACCTGCATTTACAATGAATGGGCATTAGACGGGGAAATTGGCACCAAGTTAATGAGAAACCACTAATCATTTTCTTTCTAAAGTCGAATATGCAGAATTCTTCTAAATTTTTAAACACAAGCAGGCAATGGCATAGACATCGCAAAAGGCCATCCAGCCTGTTTTTGGGACTCACACCAAAACGAATCCTTCAAAGAAGGTGTTTTTACGAGCTCTCCCGATAATATCCTTAGCATAACAATTACGAAGGGTTTTGTTGATCATAAAGGAATACATGGATATTAAGAGTTCATGGTTATTGGAAATTAGTCGAAATAACCTGCAAAGACGCACATCACAACAGAATATTGTTTCAAGTGGAAACGCTTTCATAATCACGTGCTCAACACGAAGCCGCTATCAAATATTATCAAAGTAGCCCTAAATCTGAATAAGATGAAGAAAAAACACCGTTGCAGGAAGCACTTCACTCCCAGGCAAATTTGGTTCGTTTCGCCGTTGTAGATAGTGACCCCAACAGCTGGCCGACGTCCATCTAGACTACCTGCAAGTTTTACGACCGCAAAAACACAAAGAAACTGTTAAGGAAATTAAAGGAGAAACACAGTAGAATGCTAGCAGCACTAAGGATTCCAGAGTCAGACCTTTACAAAAGGCAGCAGCGGCACTTGTTTTGGAACTTCAGTAACAACAACCTCAGTATCAATGGCGGCACCGCGGTTTACGCTCCCTCGTCGGTATCCGTAACCTGTTTGGGACAAGATCAACATTTCATCATTAGGTATCACGAGGGAATATCCAATGAATTCGGCATAACAGTTTTCCTAATAAATACACAACTTATGAAGAGAATGCAACACATCATAACCTGAAATCCATTTGCGCAATGGGAGATAACCAAGAGGCAGGGCAGGTTCACTCTTTGCCACTAGATCACAGGTTTTTGTCAGCATTAATAACAACTTTCGCTCAAGCTCCCAGAGGGGTTGATTAACGGCATATGCAGTCCATGACCGCAGGACACGTTAACACTCGACACTGCATTTCCAAAGCAAATATCAATGATCAAGAAGAAAAATAGCAGGCTATGAGATTTAGCAAGCGAAAAGCTCGTGTTACCAAGTATCTAAAACCTCAGACCAAAGCATCGATCATACCTAAACGGATTTTGTCAACCGCCTCCAACTTCAACCATGTTGTTGCATTAGCTTCTCATTTCCCATTTAAGCACCTGCAATTCAACTTGCAGAAGCCGTTAAGGCCAGCGAACACCATAAAACAGAAATTAGTAAAGTGATCTATTTCGAAATAATACGGAGGACAACAGGTTTTGTTCAGGTATCGTTCAAACAAGCAGACAGTTGAGGAGGTCATTCGCAAAAGAATCAACTTCAGACATACTTTGTTTACCTGCGAAAGGACTTAATGCACCGTTTGTGGCAAAATAAAATCGCCCGTGGACCTACTCGCAACATCATGAACCTCCAGGAACTATCATCAGAACTGCTTCGGTTTTTCGAGCAAGCAGGAAGCACACACACAGAGATTATTGCTCAACCCTTTTGAGCTGATGTGATTAGGAAGGAAAGGCTCACCATCGGCTTCGTGATCAACCTGCACAAATTAATAAAAGGAAAAGATGAAGAGTTAATAGCTTCCAATTGTGATCAATTTGAACAAGGAAAATTCCTAAGCAATAGCTATCATGGAATCAAAACAACTGAAGTGCTTAACAATGCCATGTGTCTTACAGATTGTGCTACAATAAAACTAAGCAACAAGCTAAGTACCGTAAAGATATAGACGTCACACGGAGGAAGCAAAGTAGGTTGCTACAGATGATCTTAACTCAGCTCATTCATCACCTTGTGGATGGTTCATCTGCAATAACAACCAGAGTGAGATACAATTTTTCTTTGTTATTCAGGGATCAAAGTCATTAACATCTTGGCAAGAAAGTCTAATTTTTGAGCCAATTAATTTGAGGTTGTACTAACATATGCTGCCAGAAGTTCACACCCACCTAAAACCTCCAACTTCTGCTACAACAACGGTTCCTATGTCTCACGTATCCTCCTTTCCCGTTGCACCAGGGAAGCATTGATTCAAAGCTGTCAAAAGAGGATTAGTTAGTACAAGAGATTCCCAAAAGGATTTGATTAAGATAATTTATTGCCATCAAGCCGACATCATTTCCTTTCCTATACTGAAGAAACATGCTTCAGACAGAGAAAAACCGAAAGAGGAAGGAAATTCATTGTCAGTTACTGTCTTTTGGCTCAAAGGAGCCTATAAAAGAAGGAGGAACTCGAGATTAAGTGGGGACTCAACATTCACAGAAAAACTCCCAATGATCTGTGCGCAGAAAACCCACAAATCATTTCACGGCAAACCCTAGCTCACCAACAACAGAAAAATCACAAGTTCAGAAACCACAAATCAAACCCTATTTTCGTAAATCCAAAATTATAAAAAGAACTTACCCTCGTCTCGACGTCGTTGTCCTTCGATCCCGTCAAAAGTTCCGCCGACAACCGCAAGTATCCCTCGCTGCCAAAACCATCGTCGGACATCCATCAAAACCCCTTCGCGAACCATTATCGCCCTTGTTCTTCACTCCTCCAACCGAAAACCTACAAAACACCGTCGCTCTGTAAGTGATATTTCGTAAAACCTGTTATCTTATTTGACTTGTTTCTCTCTGTGATTTCAGGAAGAAGAAGAAAAAATGGTGAAAGAAATGGAAGAATAAAAGGGAAAGCGAGAAGAATGAAGAGTGAGCGGAAGAACCACGATCGGAGATCGCGTTGAAAGGGGATGAATTGGGGGAAAGGGGATTTAGGGTTATCTGTTTGATGTTGTAACCTGTTGTAATCTGATAACCAAACACACAATACTTACCACACACTACACAATCACGGCCAACAGATCTATCTCTGATCTGATCACATGCCCCACATTTGCGCAGCCCCACCATAAGTCTGCACCCGCGTAACACTTGATCACACGCCCTCTCCCAGTTAACTCTAAATCCTCCCCTAATCAACCAATTAACCGTTAATCTGCTTTTAATTAGTTTAATTACCTGTATAATATTTAATTAATTAATTCTTCTAAACTTAATTAACCTTAATCAACTCTTTTTTTTAAATTAAACTAATAATCTTTTTAATTAACCCCTTTTATTAGGTAATTTACTTAATTAATTTAATATTTCACTAAACTTTTTTTAATATATCATGTTATTATAAAATCCTTTTTTTACATTATTCAGAAAGATATTTTCAAATTTAATTGGCTCTTATAATAATAATTAAAATCATTTTATCTTAATAAACCTTTTAAAATAACTCTCATTTTTTATTAATAACTAAAAACTTTTTTTAACCTCTTAAATAATCCCTTAATTAATTTAATTTTTTTTTTATAATAAAATTATTCAAAGCTTTTATATAATAATAGACCCCTTTTTATTGTAAAATTAACTTTTAGCTTTTTTTATAATAATTAAGAGTTCTCCTTTTTAATAACTTTTATATAATAAAAAAAACCCTTTTCATAATTGATAATAAACAACTATTTTATTTTAAAAAAAAAACTCATTTCATGGTAATCCTTTTTATCGATGAAAATAATTTTTTTTATAATAGCTTTAATAATAACCTTTATATTTATATAATAAACAAATAAAACTATTTAACTATTTTAATAGAAATTTCTTATATAAAGAAATAATGAAAAACCTTTTATAATAACTTAAGTAAAAGGAAAACAACTTAAAAATCATTTTCATAATTTAAATAACATATATTTCACTCGTTAATAATAATTAAACCTTTTAATATTAGAAAACTATTTTCTTAAGTAAATTAACTTTTATATGATAATGAACAATTTTGCTAAAACAAATCTAATGCAACTTCCTTCCTAAAATTAATCCAACTATTTCCTTAAAATCAATTCAACATTCCTCTAAAATCAATCTCTATCTTAAATCAACCTTTTTCTCATAAATAAATCTCGCCTAAAATTAATCAATCGTCTCTCAATCAATCGTGCACGCTTCCGTCTCCGATCCGTTCTCACACTCACAACCACTTTCACACACACTTCAGCGCTTTCATGCGTACGTGTATGGCTTTACTTATTTGTCTTTTATTATTCCGCAATTTATCTTACAAGCAATTTACTTTACCGTATTGCATTCCGTCCAAAGGAAAAACCTACACATGAGTCAACACTTGTGTGCAGTGCACCTCATTTGCATCATACTCCTGCTTGATCCTTGATCCCATTCAAGTTGATCTTTCTAAGTTAGATCCTACCCCCATAGGAGGACCTTTGCCTCTCCTTTACAACTTAGATACAAACAAATACAACTCAATATAATATTCAAAACATTAGAAAAAGATGTTAATCATCTTAAGCGAGATAGAATCTCCACCCCACAACAATACAATTAATACGTAGAGACCTTTGCCTTAAGAGAGATAGAGGCGTACATCGTCGATCAATATCCGAGTACTTGAGCCCTTCTCTTAAGACGATGCAAAGACTATTTTCCTACAACTTGTGGCGGTTAAATCTCTCTTAAAATGATAACTCGTATTTTCTCCTAAAATCAATCAAACAACTACCCAAAACCCGTAGGAACTTTGACCACAGTCAAAGAACTCCTTAAACCCTTTAGAGAAACTATAAATACTCTGATTCCACTCCCGTAAGGATATGTAGGCATAAGATGTGATATCTTATCGAGTATACTTAGAAATAAACCCCTAGGTCTTTTAACCTTTAAGCAGATAAACTCATAACAATAAACACACATTAAAACAAGAGGTTCCTGTAGAGTACTACAGAAACTTAGGATGCTAGCACCTTCCCTAAGTTTAACCGACCCCCGAACCTATAACTCTTTAAACCTTGCATTTGCATTGCATTGTGGGAATTTCGATCTTTATCCCTTCCTTTGGACAAATCAAAGTTAGGTTGCAAAATGAATTAAAGATTCAAACTAATCAATAGTTTGGTATCCAAATTTCACTGCGACAGAAATGGCGACTTCACTGGGGATTCTCAGTGGGTTTCCTTATCTTGCTTTACTTGTTTATTGCTTTATATATTTGCTTACTTGCTTATTTATTTGTGTCCTTTATTTCTTTTGGGTTGTGATCCTTGAGTGGTGAGACAGAGTCCTACACTCGGACTTGAGTGAACTTAAGATAGGATAGTGATATGTTCGACGAGGCTTATAGGGAGTTGAATCCCGACCAAATTGACTTGAAAATCACGCTCAGTTGAGACCCTTTCGAAAATAGTTCGGTTGAACGAGTAATTGTGAAGACTTTTACTATTTTTGATTGTAGTCTATGATATTGAGGATCATAGTTACCTTAACCTCACTTTGGCCTTTATTAGGATGTAGTGCGGGACTATGAGGGAGTACACCCAAAATAGTGCTACGCGATGCTACACTCAAAAGAAGTTCTCTTGATAATATTATTAATCACCGAGTAATTGGGAAATTGATAACATCCGAAAGATGAGCTAATGACTTTGGGAACCTTATTAGAACCTTGTTCTGCAGGTACAATCAACCTTTAGTCCATATCCTTTGGGAATGGGTATACCTTTGTCTCCATGCTCGTTGTAAACCTAGGACCTTTGTTTGTTTATCTTTGTGTGTCCTTATGTGCTTACTTGTGTTTGTTGCATTCATATGGCATCATATTGCATTGGTTTCATGGGATTCCTAGTTTAGTTATAAACATTACAGAAACCAATAGGGATTACAAAAGAAAATATTTTGAAATATTCTTTTAAGTGTCCTAACTTAGATGTCCTAAGGAAGTTAAGGGCACCGATTGAAGAATTAAGACACTCAAAAGGACAAATACGAGAGGCTTCCCCTTATCATGGAGGATCATTAGAAGTTCAAAAGACTCTCATTGAA